GTACAGTGGTTTGCAAAAGTATTCATATCCCTTGAACTTTTCCATATTTTGTCACATTACAACCACAAACATAAATATATTTCACTGGAATTTAATGTGAAAGACCAACACAAAGTGGTTGGTCTTTCACATTAAATTCCAGTGAAATATATTTATGTTTGTGGTTGTAATGTGACAAAATATGGAAAAGTTCAAGGGGTATGAATACTTTTGCAAACCACTGTATGTGTATATATCTTTTATTCTGTTTAGGTCATGTTTTTCAACCCATTCAGCTTCCTCTTTTTTCTTTACATCACAGTATTTGCAAAGAAACCTCTAACTTACCAACACTTTGGTCATCTTTGTTCTACTCTGGCTCTGGGTCAGACTCTGACTCCAGCTTGTAAGGCTGGATGGACAAGTCTTCCCTTGTATATTTTTAGTTAATTTGTAAATAAAAAGTTTATGCGCTGCTATATAGAGCTGGAATAGACCGCTCTGGAAGCTGGAGGGGGGCGRGGTGTGAAGCAAGATTCAAAGAGACAGCATCAAAAAGAGTTGACCTGAGAAACACCTCAGAAAAGGGATGAAAGAGGGACTTGTGGAGTTACAATTGGGATGAATTCAGACCAAAGAGTTGCAGTTCCACTTTATATAGACCCCAACTGAACGATTTAAATGTGAAAAAGAATTTAAAAGCAGGATATGTCTCCTTTAAAGGAAAATTGAATTTCACTGAAAGTTGATGCTGCAAATCTTCAGCGTAAAAAGCTTTTCAACAAAAGCATATGAACTTAATGACAGGTAAATTAAAACTGTTAAAGCGTTCAAACATGTTGGGCCCAGAGGAAGTCTCACTACAGGCTCAAAGCAGGAGGACCTGTCCTGGATGAGCAGAAAGTGGATAAAAACAAGAAAAACTGCTGAATTTTTCTTTTTTTGTGTGATCAAGATTTTACCTTTTATAACTATTTACCTATTTAACACCTTTTCAATTGGTGATGTGAACTGTATGCAAAGTTTGAAATAAAATCATTTTTTAGAGCATAAAATTTCATTTTCAAACTCAGGCTTCTGGTTCTAAACCTTACAGTGTAACAACACTGACCTCTGCTGGCAAAGATGGCAGCTGCAGACAGAAATAACATTTTCACACTTCTGAGTTTACCTAACTCAAAAATAAATCCTGCATTGAAATTAATTTTAAAAATGTTCTGGATATTGTTGATTGTTTTGCAGTATGTTTTACAGCAACAGGTTAAAAAAATTAGGAGTTAATGTTTTTGTTTGCATTCTAGCATTTCTTTTATTTTAGCCTCCAGCCCGTGCATCTTCCTGCATCCTAGTGCACGAGGAAGGTTTGAGAGCACAACAAATACAGCACAAGGTCACAGACATCAGACCTGTTGGCTCAGACTGCACCATCAGAGCTTTAAAAGTAGAGCGCTGAAAGTGACTCTTTAAATAGGCCTTAAAGGAAAATCTTATCAGTGATGCTTAGCTGAACAGCACAAGGGTCAAACACAACAAGACGTGATGTAACACTTCCAGTCATCAACATGAGAAAATAGGGTGGGTTTAAATTGATTTAATAATGGGTGGTAATGGGGATGATTAAAAAAACCTTGGCAAGTCCCACAAACCACAAACCATGACCTTTTAGGGTGGGAGCCACATGAAGTTTAAAGTCCACCCTCATTACAGCATTTGTTTGCAGCCAACCGTGTTTAATGTCGTCACAGGTGATAATTAGCTGTTGTGTCAGCTCTAGCTTAAACTAAAGACTTCTCTCTGAAGTAACTTGAATGTGACAGTAAGACGCTCGGTGGCCTCGGTGTCAGCTGTGTAAACATCCAAGTCACGTCCGGACATGACAACAACTAAACCAGTCACATTTGAGCCAAATGGAAACCTCTACCATCATCCTTAAAGTTAAACTCATTTTGTGGTGAAGTTGTGCAAGCTGTTTGCACAAACACAAACACATCAGCTGGAATTGAGTATTCTGAGAGAAAATTGGATTTTTCTTTTAGTTTATTTTATTTTTTTAATGGATGAGACTGGCTTTAGGTGTCTGTTTTGTCTGTGTAAACAGGATGAACTTGTCTGGGATTGTTAGGATTTAGGAGAACAGATTAAATTCAGGCGACAAACTTTATTGAGCGTTCAAACAAAACTGATTTTAAAACAACATTTTTAACAGAGAAAAAAGATCCTGCCAGTGTGTCAAAATACATGTACAAATAATTTTAACTATTTTTTTTTATTATAAAATGTTCAAACTGAGGAGGATTAATAGTGTTAGAAAAATAT